CACATAGAAACAAACATAAAATAAGACCACTGAAACGTAGAAAAAATATACCGGTGACCCCCCAGTGACCCTACGCTGTCCTTTGCATTAATAAAAATAGCGTCGTTGTTCAAGGGTTAACATGCAAATATACATAGCTTATGCTTTTTCTGCACCGATTCCATGGTATCGATAGTAATCGAAATTTAATATCAATATTATTGATATTAAATTAATACTTCAACGTTAACTACTACTACTACTACTGACCTACACTGCTTCTTATCAAACTGACTCAATTACGATTGCCTACTAACTTCCGCAGTATCCTGTGTGTTCGTAAGTTGACATACAGTCGGTGTAAAAAATCGTCGCGTTTTAAAAGCCGTTCGAGTACTTTTCACACAGACTGCACCTCTTTCGAGAGACATTCTCGCGTACTATAAAAACTGAAGAAATTGTTTGGCACGGAAAACAAGGCTGACTAATTACGCTCGCAATACTAACGAAACTGTCAAAGTCCAACCCGGGAATAGTGCACGAATTTTATGGAGATCCTTGAAGTCCTGCGAGAAGAATGCCGAGTGTACCAAAGTGCTATTTTATGAACCCTGCTGAACCGTGTAAAAGCATCGCAGAGAAATGGGACACAGGGCCAAGAAACGTCGTTTCTTTATTGTGTACTAACACAACTATTTCATTTTCCTTTTTGTCTAAACTTTAACAAACAAAAAAAGCGATTACTCCTGGTAAACGAAGAAGTACTCGTGGCTATCTTGGGATATTATTTAATTAAGAAATCGGAAATTTCTTCGTGCTTTTTTGCTCGTTTATTTATTATCGATAAATATTATTATTATTATAATATTTATAATTATATATAATATAATATATATAATTATGTATTATCAATTGTTATTATATTATTATTATTATTATTATTATTATTATTATATATAAGAATATATATAACATATATAATATATATAATTACTTATTATCAATTGTTATTATACTATTATTATTATTATATTATATATAAGAATATATATAACATATATAATATAATAATAATATAATATAACATATATATTATATATAAATATATATAATTATTTATTATCAATTGTCTTACTTTC